ACAGGCCAGCTTCAGTACTCCCATCAGACGGGCATGGAGGGCTCCATCAGCTGCTGGAGCTCATGGCCCGGCCTGCATAAGTCCAGCCCTGCCAGCCCACAGCATGGAGCCTGACAGGTCAAGATGGAGCAGCCAAGGGAAACAGAGGTTTCCTACCTCACAGCCACTCACCCCAGAGGGAATTCCAGGGCAAGCCCTGGCACACTTCTCCCTGGCTCAGGGATGACCACTGCCAAAATGCCCAAGGCCTCACCCTGCCCCTTCCATTGGCCCAGGTTGTGCTCCCCAGGCCTCCCACACTGTACCCCACAGAGGGGTAGGAGAGACGGGGAGAAATGGAAGGGCAAACTCAGGAAGTGAAGACCTAATGCCAACACAAAGAACTGAAGCCAACAGTCCATGGCAGCTTTACTCATCATAGCCTCAAACTGGAAGCAACCCAAATAACCATCAACAGGGGACGGACAACAGGCTGTGGTTTGTCCATACAACAGAATGCTCCCCAGTCATAAAAAGGAGCAGACTACTCATATATGCAACAACATGGATGAAGCTTAAACCCTTGTGCTGAGTAAAAGAAGCTCGTATTGTGCAATTCCACCTCCATGAAGTTCTAGAAAAGGCAAAACAGATCAGTGATTGCCTGGGGCTAGGGTTGGGGAGGGTTGCCAGCAAAAGAGCAGGTTGGGGACATTCTAGGGTGACAGATGATGGGGGGGGGTTGCATGCATTTGTCAAAACTCATCAAACTGTGTGCCTAAAATGGTATGTCAATTATACCTCAATACAGTTTGATTTAGAAGAAAAGAAAGGTAAGAGCCAGAGGAGGTGGGTGGGCATGTGGTTACCATGTGGGTGTAGAGGTTTCAGCAGCATCAGGAGGCAAGGAGACTAGCCTCCCAAGGGGTACTCAGAGTTTGAGGGGCAGGGACCTAGGTCAGCCCCAAGGAGTCCCACATTCCAGGGGCAGGAAGAGGATGGGGACCAAGAGGAAATGTCCCAAAAGGACGGGGGAGAACCAGGGGGTTGTGATACCTCGGATGCTAGGGAGAAAGAGCTCATCATTGGGGTGGGGTGGTTAGAAGAGGCCAGAGGAGCAGTGCAAGGTCTGGGCAAGGGGAGAAACCAACCCTGAGGACCCCTGCTGTGGCTTCCCTATGGATGCCTGCCCCCACAACCTCCCTTTGACAATCTCTGTTAGGCTGGCCCAGATTCTAGCCAGGATCTAAGGGGCTGAGTGGCATTGAGTGAGCCCTGGGACACTGACAGACCCAGGGTGGGGGACTGGACTGAACTCTGCAAGCAGAGGTGTCATCCCTGCAACCTCGGGACTCTGAATGGCTAAGGAGACCTCTTGGAGTCTGGGCTGGCCTCCAGGATGGACACAGGCCCCCGCCACACTCCACAGAACTGCTAAATTTAGCCAGGCAGAGGAGGTTGTCCTGGGGCTGAGGGCTTGGCAGCACTGCCTTGTCTCCCTACAAGGGCTGGCCCAATGCCGCAGCTGGCCACTCGGCCTTTGGGCTTATAAGGCAGGTCTGGCAGCTCTCAAGTGCTGGAGTCTTGGGGTGGGCTCTGGGCCAGTCTCTCAGACTTTGGGGAGCCTCCCCTCCAGCCACTAGACACGGGAGCTACTTGGGCAAGGCACTCAATTCCTAGAGCCTCAGTTTCCCTATCTGTAAAATGGGGGTTCCAGTACCTACCTCATGGGGCTGTTTAAAAAAAATCTGCTGTAACGTAACAATAAAAAAATTAAAAAAAAAATCTGCTGAATGTGAAAGTACTGTGTCGCCTGTAAACTCTGACCCCTGCCCTGCCCATCTCTGCCCCCCACTCCACAATGCCTAGAGCAATCACAGGTGTCTGTTCCTGGGGATGCTGTAGTTGGGGCAAGGCGGGAAAGCATAGACCTAGATGGAAAGATGCACTTTATTTTATTTATTTATTTATTTATTTATTTGGAAAGATGCATTTTAGAACCAGTGAAAGAGGCATTAGTCCTATCAACTGTCTGTCTTACTCTGGCAAAATTATTAGCAAAAAAGATTTGTAATTGGGAAGATAAATGTAATTGCTTTTATTTCTTTTTATTTTGGGCATGCTTTGGATACGACAACCCCAAATGAGATAGTCCCCCATGACAGTCTGTTTTCTTTTTTTTTTGTTTGTTTATTTGTTTTTTTTATTCTTATGTTAATCCCCATACATTACATCATTAGTTTTTTTTTTTTTAAAGATTTTATTTATTTATTTGAAAGAGAGAATGAGAGAGAGAGCATGAGAGGGGTGAGGGTCAGAGGGAGAAGCAGACTCCCTGCTGAGCAGGGAGCCCGATGCGGAACTCGATCCCGGGACTCCAGGATCATGACCTGAGCCGAAGGCAGTCGCTTAACCAACTGAGCCACCCAGGCGCCCTACATCATTAGTTTTAGATGAAGTGTTCCATGATTCATTGTTTGTGCATAACACCCAGTGCTCCATGCAGAACGTGCCCTCCTCAATACCCACCACCAGGCTAACCCATCCTCCCACCCCCCTCCCCTCTAGAACCCTCAGTTTGTTTTTCAGAGTCCATCGTCTCTCATGGGTCGTCCACCCCTCCGATTTCCCCCGCTTCATTCTTCCCCTCCTGCTACCTTCTTCTTCTTCTTCTTTTTTTTTTTAACATATATTGCATTATTTGTTTCCGAGGCACAGATCTGAGATTCAACAGTCTTGCACAATTCACAGCGCTTACCAGAGCACATACCCTCCCCAGTGTCTATCACCCAGTCACCCCATCCCTCCCGCCCCACCCCCCACTCCAGCAACCCTCAGTTTGTTTCCTGCGATTAACAATTCCTCATATCAGTGAGATCATAGGATACATGTCTTTCTCTGTTTGACTTATTTCACTCAGACAGTCTGTTTTCTAAGTGTCAGGGTCAGAACTGAGGCTGTAACAGGAGCACAGGCGTGTGCTCCAAGCAAAGGTGTCTGAGTAGCTAAGGAGACCCATCGGAGCCTTGTGCCGAACCCCTTGAGGACCTGGGCTGGCCTTCAGTATGGGCATAGGCCCCCTCTGCACTCCACTGGCTGCTAAATTTAGCCAGGCAAAGGACGCCATCTGTCCATTAGTCCCTCTGTCAGCAAGGCCGGCTCCTTGGAGATGGGGAGAGGGAGTGAAGGAGGAGGTAGTGGAGGTCATGGTGATGGTAGGAAAAGGGTAGGTGCAGCTTAGAGACTGCCTGACTTCTTTCCCTCTCCTTCCTCCTCTCTCCCCACTTCACCTGGTACCTGCTACCCTCCTGAATGTCCAGGGATCATGGGTGGAGTGGGGCACAAAGATGGCTTCTGTAGAGTGTCAGCATCCACTCCCACTCTCGATTGCAAGCAATTCATGTCCTGGGACCTGCTATTCCAAGAACCATGGGATCACCTGGGAAGGGAATAGGCCCTTTGGTCTGGGATCAAGACCAGGCCAAGGGGACATGATACCCACAGGTCTGGCTCCCAGCATCTCTGGATTTTTTCCTTAAAAAAGCCCAGGACATGGTTCTGACCTGCCCCTCTGGAAGGTGGTGTTGGACAGACAGTTGAGCCTGAGATTGGTGAGAATGATCTGTTTGAGAGGGGGGAACTGGCCTAGGGTGCTGGAAGGGGCCATGGGCCTGCCCTCTGTGGGGGCCCTTGCTGCCCAGAAAGCACCTCTACTCGGACAGGCAGCTGGGATTTCCAGCCCTGAAGCCTGGCTCCCTGCCTAGAGCAATTGCCCAGCTAAAGGCCTGCCAGGAAGAAGACTCCTATCAGCCTTCAGAGTGAGGCACCTTGGACTGCAGGGGAGTTCCCCACACCCCGGGGGGAAACCCAGCCTCCATCTCCCATCTCCAGAGGAAGCCCCAAGGACACCTGGCCTGGGTTGAGGGCCAGCCAGGGAGGCCTTCCTGCTTCAAGCTGAGGCCTCCAGTATAGCCCAGGGTGAGCTTGGGCAATTCATTTCTCCTCTCTGAGTTCATTTCTTCATCTGCAAAACAAGGCATTGGGTCAGGGGAGGCCTCCAGCTCTAGGGCCCCAAAAGCAAACATGAGACCTCTGCCCCCCCCCCCATTCCCCTGGGGCCCTTGCATTCATGCCCTGGGTTGTGGTTGAAGACAGGGGCTGCAGAGGGTCTGTACCTTAAGATCACATAGTGGCCTCAGGTTTTTGTCCTCAGTGTTGTTGGGACCCATCCCCCTGGGGCCTCTACCTATGAGGGAAATCCCATTATCATCCCCATTTCACAGATGAGGATGCACGCTCAGGCTGGTGAGGCAAATTACCCAAGCCCTCACAGGCAGCTAGTAGCAGAGCCAAGGATATCAATTGAGGCTGTCTGATGTCGGGCTTTCCCAGCTTTGTCTCAGGAGCCCAGGGGCGGTGTGCAACAGATGGGGCCCTTGAATCTTCCGGGCACTTGCCTCCCTCTGCTTGTTTTTGGGAGGTGGAGGTGTGGCTGGGACAGGACAAATGATGGGAGAGGAGAGGTGAACTATAGAGATGCCAGCCTGGTGCTAAGGTTGACTGGGCACAGGCCAGGCTTGGACTCAGAGGGACAGGTGGATGGAAGCTGGTCTATCAGGACAGAAGTGGGGGTCCTGCTGCAGGCTCTGGAAGTATCAGATAGCTGACGCTTCCAGAAATGGCCCTGCTTCCTCTTCTGCTCTCCTGGCCACAACCCCCACAGGGACTGAGCTCCACACCTGGGGGCACAGGTAGAGTGGGGAGGATGTTTGGATATGGGAATGGGTCCCTGGTTTGGGGAAGGGTTTAGCCTGAGGCCACTCCACCCAAGCCCTGGCCCTGTTCTGTTCTGCTAGGTTCATGGGGGAGCTGAAATCTTTATCTTTGCCTTATGACGGGTGGCCTGTGGTTTCCTGCCAACAACTCCTTTTTCCGGAGGCTCAGCAGGGCCCAGGCGGAGCCAGAAGGAGCTGTGGGGCTGGGCCTGGGTGGCCCCACCAGCCCCGCCCCCATCTATCTTTGGGAATTTATTTGTCCACAGGCGCGGCTGGCCCACAGTCCATTGCCTGCCAGGGGCCAAGAGTTGCTCTGACTACCCAAGGACTCTATTTTTCAACCCAAGTGCCTTCAACTGACCCCTGACTCCTGACCTCTGGCCCCAGCTGCCCTGCCCTGCCCTTCCTAAGGGGCCAGGAAGCCCCTAGAAGCTTCACTGTAGACGTGGGCATTGACACCTGGCTCCCCTCAAGAGCAAAGTCTGTGCAAGGGGCTCGGTTCTCAGGCCCCAGCCTGGCCCACCATGGCACAGCGGCTCCAGGATGAACTGGCTGCTTTCTTCTTTCAGTATGACACTCCCCGAATGGTGCTCGTGCGCAACAAGAAGGTGGGCGTCGTCTTCCGCCTGATCCAGCTTGTGGTTCTTGTCTACGTCATTGGGTGAGTCTGGGCCCCCTACCTGCCAACCTCTTGCACCAGCTTCCAACCTGGGCCTTTCCTCCAGGCTTTGGGATGCCCCCATGACCCCAAGGAGCCCCCTTTCTCTCCATCGGTTGTCACCCTCCCTAACAAACTGTAGTGCTATTCAGAAGGAATGGAAGCCTGCTAACTCACTGTCAAGATGGGGACATTGAGGTAGAGGGGAAGTCCTGCCCTGGGTCATAAGGTGAACAAGAGGAAAAGACGTTGGGTTCTAAGGAACTGACTCACTGTTAACGGTCTCTTAAGTGGTGAGTGGTGTTGGATGGAGGCCAGGGCCCCAGCAAACCACAACCAAAGTCCTTCTACTTCTGACCTCCTAGCCAAGCCAGGCCACTACTAAGAGACAGAGGCCACGCCCCATTTTACAAGCCAAAGAGGGACAGGCCCTGTTCCCACCTGCCCTGCCTAAATTAGAGGCATCCTGAGATATTTGAAACCCCCAGAGCAAAGAAATTTTCAAATTCAGAACACCTGGCACCTTAATGATGGCATGTCAGGTGGCATGGAGGTCAGTTCAGGTCCCAGGGATGACTGCTCCTTTCTAGGCATCTTGAGACCTGTCCCACTGTCCCAGGAGTGCAGAGGCAGAAGTAAGGTGGTACGCCCCTGAAGTCTTGCCGTCCTGGGAGCCAAGACGGGCCTGGCAGTGGCTTACACATATGCTTGTGTGAGCACACATGTGCGTATGTGGTGTGTGTGCACATGGGTGTCGTACCTAGAGCTCTGTGTGGATGCACGTGTTCTCCTGTGTCTGGGCATGTGCCTACTGGGGGTGGCTGCGGGCTGTGTCCCTGTGGCTGGGGATCCACATGTGCATGTCGTGTGACTGAGGTGGCTGGCCACCTGATGTGTGTGCCCTAGGGGGGTGGGGGGTAATCATATCCACTCAAGAGTGATACTGCAGAGGGCTCTTGGAGGCCCCAGGGCCAATGAAGGAGTTTCAGCTCTTGCTGAGGGGGTTTGGGGATGCCCGGCAGAATCCCTTTGCTGTGTGATTCTGAGGGCCCTGCCCCTCTGGTCTCCATGTCCCCGTTTTTGCTGAGGGACCAAACGAGGACTGCTGACTAGAGCCCAGGGTGGGCTGACTAGGAGACCAAACAGTGACCATATCGCTCTGGTCCCTCCAGGGCCTCTGATATCCAAAACAGCCTTCCCTCTACTCCATCTGGGGGGAGGTGGAGTCAAAGGTGGAGGTCAGGTCGAGTCAAAGTGGAGTCAGGTGGAGTCGAAGCCAGGACCTAGCCCTGTGACACCTTTCAGCCTCTGCCTCCCTCCTGTTCACAGACCAATTTGACATCTGCAAATGTCATTTGAGCTTGTGAGGAAAACTGACTAGTGGAACTTCCAGGTCACATAGCAAGTCCCAGCTAGAGCCGAGGTCTCTTGACCCCCAGGCCTCAGCAGTGCCTTCTCCTTTCCCACCTCACAAGGGCTCTGAGAACGTTGTAATGGGGCCCTGATGCTGTGATGCCAGGCACAAGATGGGCCTAAAAGCTCACCATTAGCTGCACTCCTGACCTTCCAGGGAAAAGAGAGATTGCCTGCCCAGGCCTAGGCCATCCTTCACCAGAAGAGGCTGGGAGAATGTTGTCCTCACTGTGGCCCCTATTGCTCCTTATTTCTGCTTTCAGGTCAGCAGTGGGAGCAGCACCAGGGCCCTCTTGTGTGTTGGTCACAGGCTGTCAGAGGGAAAGCGACACTCCTCCCACCCCACTCCCAGCTGTACCATACGCTCCAAGCCAACATCCAGTCCTGAACACATACCTCCAGTAACAGAGACTTGTCTACCTCCCTCCTTGCTTTCCTCCCTCCCAAGGACAGCCTACTCAGTTTCCAAATGCATGTGGCCTCCTCAGTGTCGGTGAGGCTCAGAGACACTGGGTGATTTAGTTTGGATCTCACAACCAGAAAGAGGATGAACCAGATTTGAATCCAGCTGCATGGCTCCAAAGTTGGCCTTGATATCCTGGAAAGGAAACATCCTCAGAGAGGGGCACTGACTTGCCCAAGTCATATAGCAGAGAGAGGAAGGCAGTGTCCCCCACAACCCCACCCTCAAGCCCAGACCTCCTATTCCGACTGCAACTTCTGCTGTCTCCAGCATCCTCGTCTGGCCACTGCCCACTGCTTTGCTGACCACTCACCTGCAGACGGAAACCGGCCTGGGTTTGGTCTTACTCTCTCAGGTTTTAGTTTCCCAACTGTTCTACGGAGCAAGGGTGGGGGATCCCTCTAAAGATGTCGTGTGCAGGCTCATTTCTGAGGAGGGACGCCTTTCTTGAATTAGCCCTCTTTCCAAGGCCCCTGTCTGTCTGAATGTCTGGTCCTGTGGGTGCTGCAGGGTACAAAGGGGAACATGGGAGAAGAGCCAGACTCCCACATTCCAGAGACAGAGGCACAACCAAATGGGGGATGGGCAGACACAAAGACAGAACCAGACAGAGGGACGTTGGAGCACAGCCACTCAGATGAAGAGAGAGGTCCTGAGGCTGAGAGATGGTGAATTACTAAGACAGAGGCAGAGAGGCTGAGATGTTGAAAACCCAGACTCTGAGAAGGCAAACTGAGGTTGTGTTCTCTATCAGTCACACTCTTCTGAGAAGTCCATGGCAAATGGATTGAGCAAGTGGGTCTGAGGCCCTGGTGGGCTGAGCTAAGATCTCACTCTTTTTGTCTTAAATTAAAATGGTTAATTTGCAGTTAGAACTGTCTCCTGGGAGGTGATGAGCTCTCTGTAACTCAGTACACAGGCAGTGGGCTGTCATCCATGACCTAGCAGGCCCAAACAAGGAGTGTACTGGGATACGTCCCTGCCTGGAGGCTCTGGTTTGGAGAGGACAGAGGTTTGGCTGTGGTGCACAAGAGGGTCCCAGTGAGATCTGTGAATGCTGCTTGGTAAGTGGAGCCTGGGAAGGCTTCCTGGAAGAGATGAAAGAGTGGTGGAACCAGCCTTGAGCAAAAAAGCCTGGGGGCTATAAGCCAGGCAAGCCTGCTCTTGGCTTTCCCTTTGCGTGTCCCCCCCTCCCCGCTCACGCCATCTACCTCACACAGAGCTCTTGAGAAGTTCACTTGCTTCTGAGATTTTCAAATGGATCCTGGAACATACCAATCAGGGATAAGGATAGACACAAATTTTTGCTGGGGAAAATGCATCCAGGGACATTTCTACAGCATCTTCTCTGTGCCTATTGCTGTGCTGGGAGCCATAGGACAGAGGTGGGGTACAGGGTGAGCAAAGGAAAAGTAAGGAGTGGAGGATGAGTTAACCAGGACTCCTTTGATTCCTAGAGAAGAGTGGGGCTATTGAGTGGTTTATGTAACTGAAAAAAAAAAAAATCAATGCAGGCTTCATGGAAGCTGGATCCCCCATGAGGAGGGTACGGGAAGAACAAGTTCTACAGGGAGATGGGGAGTTCAGGTTGGTCCCATTTGGGTTCTCCAAAGAAGCTAGCCAGGATTTTCTCCTCTTCCCAGCTCTGCTATCCTCTGGGCTTCATTCTTAGGCAGACTCTCTCTGTCCTCATAGTGGCAAAACGGCCACCAGCAGCTCCAGCCTGACATCTCACCAGCTTAGCCATCACTAGGGCATAAGACTGTCTCCTTTTCCAGAGTTCCAGCAAAAGTCCCAGATCCAACTCTTACTGGCAGGGGTCATGTCAAGTGCCTACCGCAAAACCAACTGTTGTGGCCAGGAAAATGAAAAACCGTGGTTGGTAGAGTCTCGTTGTGTGCCTACCTGGTCCAAGCACTCCTGCTGGAAAGCAGAGTGTGATCAAAGGCCCTGGGGCAGGAAAGAAACAGCAAAAGAGTCAGTAAGGTTAGGCTGTGGAGCATGAAAGGACCCAGGGGAAAGGAAGTGGAGGGGTGAGCACAGCCACCAATTCAGGCCTCTGAATGCCAGGCTGGGAAACATGGGCTTTCTCCTATAGGTCGTGGGGAGCCATAGAAGGATGTCTAGCAGGGGAAGGCCCAGGGCAGGCAGGGGATGGGGTGGGGGTGGAGGCCAGAGGCAGGGCACTGTGAAGAGGCAGAAGTGATAAGAACAGAGGAGGAGGCCATGCCAAGGCAGAAGCAGTGAGCATGGAAGACAGGAGTAGTCATCCTGGTGGGCCCCACACCAGGGAGATGTGTGTGGAGGGGGTGCCCACTGCTTGGTTTTTGCTCATCATCCCTGCGGCAGGCCATGGGCCCAGCATAGCCCAAGTTTTTGACTTCTCAAGAGCAGTGAGAAATTGGAATTTTTAAGCAAAGGAATCTCTGGATATTTAGAGGTTGGTGACTCATTAAAAAAATTTTTAAACACAAATCGTCAGCCTAACTTATCTGCAGAAAACATGTAGCTTAACCTCTAAACACTCAGCGCGGGCCCCAGCTCTAAACTCAGTCCCTCCCGGGCTTGGAGTCTGGTCTTGCCCTCCCTGAGGCTGCTGTGCTCTATAGCATCCGCCTGGCCTGCTCGGCTCCTGCCCGTGGTTGTACCTTGTGCCCCCACCAGCCACAACACGTCGTGCCATCCCCATGCCGGGGTTCCCCTGGCGTCTGTCCCGGCTCCTCTCACGTCTCAGCCTCCCCCAGCAAAATCCCTTTGGGTCCATAGAGGAATGCCAGGAGGACAGAGGGACCCAAAGGACGTGCGCATAATGGAGAATGAGGGTATGAAGATGATGCCCAGGCTTTGAGGAGGATGGGGTAGGTATGGTGCCACCCTCTAAGATGAGGGCACAAAGGGGCAAGTTCTGTGGGGGACATGAGGCATTCAGTTGGTCCCACTGAATTTTTGTTTTGGGATATTAGTCAAATGCCGTAACATTCACCCCTTGAGAACGTACAATTCAGTGGTTTTTCGTATAATCACGAAGTTGTGCCACCATCACAACTATCTAGTCTACAACACGTTCACTACTCCAGGAAGAAACTCTGTACTCCTTAGCAATAACCCCCCATTCTTTCTCTCTACAGCCTACTTTGCCTACTCTGGACATTTCACAGAAATAAAATCATATGCGGCCTTTTGTGCCTGGCTTCTTTCACTTAGCATAATATTCGAAAGGTTCATCTGTGTTGGTTATAACATGTATCAGCCGTTCATTCCTTTTTATGGCTGAATACTATTTCACTGTACGGATATGTCACATTTGATTTACCCATTCATGGTTGATAGTCATTTGGGTTGTTTCCACTTTTGCTTCTTATGTATAATGTTGCTGTGAACACTTATGTACAAGTTTTTGTGAGGACATATTTTCAGTTCTGTTGGGTATATAACTAGGAGTGGAATTGCTGAGTCAAGTGGTAAGTCCGTATTTAACTTTTTGAGGAATTGCCAGGTTGTTTTGCAAGGGTTTGGGTGGAGTTTGAGGTACCTGTGTGATGTCTGGGACGAGGGACCAGGTGAGGGAGAAGGAATGGGTGTCACAAAGTGCTGGGTCATATAGACATGTATGTAAGATTCTTGAGTGCAGAATTTTGGTTGGCTTTGTTCACTCCTGTATTTTTAGTGCCTAGAACACTGCTTGGCACGTAATAAGGGCTCAATCAATAAATGTTTGTTGAATCGCTAAATGAATGTGTGGAATTAGATCTCCAGGGAGAGTACAGAAGTGGAGATAAAAATCTGGGGACATGATGTATCTGTGACAGCTTACATGAGGTTCTGCCTGGGCTGGGAATAGAAGCCAGGGCGATGGGGGCAGTTGGACATATAAAGAGGAATTACTGACTCAAGACAGTGAAAATCAGAGGATTATTTATTATGCGCCTACTGCATGCTAATTTCCTTAATGAGAACGCATGGGGAATCCCCTGGTCACCTAGACCTGCTTTCTTCCTGGGGCCCAGCCCA